CCCTAAACACTAAGAGGGAAAACGTCATTTTTCAAGGGCAAACAAACTTGCTTTGGGAAAACTCCTATTTTTATCCTGACGCAGACAATAACAGATAAAGTGCTTGTGATCCTAAGCAGCCAGGCTGTTGTGTAAGGGGGTTGTAGATGTGGTCATCACAAGCTTCCTGACCCTGTTTCCCAGAAAGCTTTAGTAAGCTCAAGGGCATCAGGAGGTTTACTGGTGTGATTTGATTTTCCTTCAAGCTAAGAGGAGGCAGTGCCCAGAGCAGCACTGTAGGCTGAGCAACCCAGGAGCAAGTTCAAGGAGCCCAACAATGGCTGAACTAACAGAAATGTGCCTCTGATGTGAGCCTGTTTGCCGGGTGAATTCCTGTAAGTGACCTTTCCAGTGAGCCTCTTGAGGCACAAGCAAACTTTGCTGTCCAGGACAACTGACCCCCCCAACACGTGCTTGCAAGCAAATGCTGGAAATCAGTGCAAACAATGGTGTTGTGCTCTGAAAGCCACAACAAACCAGACCTGAAGGTTTGTTCAAAACGTTCTCAGCAGAGACTAGCTGAGCACAGTGCCCTGCACGCATCAGCTGCTCTCTGCTCCTGCTCTTGGGCACTCTTGACTTCCCCAGTCTCACCTCTTCCTCAGCACGGGCAGCACCCTCCTGCTGCAGCTGGATCCCATCGTTGGGTCCCTGCAGAAGCAGCACGAGCCGTGGGGTGAGCATCAGCAGGAGTGCAGGCAGGAGGGAGAACCTACAGCCAGAGGAAAGCCATCCATGCCTCAAAGGGAGAGAAAATCAGCACCTCTTTGGGATCACGATGGGTAAACTGGAAAAGTTTGGTGACTGAGCACTCCTTGAGTCCTCTCCTGCCCTGTCCAGAGGGCTCAGCCCACCACCAGCTGCTGAGAGACACGGGAGGGCCGGGCTGAAGAACCATCTCCAGCCAAACCCACAGGGATCTCTAGGCAGAGGAGGGAATTTTCCTCTCTTGTGCTGAGGTTGTAACCCAGGGTGACCAAGGGTGGCTGGGGTCTGTTTTGACAAACAGGATTACACGTCTGCACTGGTCACATCCCCTTGGCACCTCTGCACACCTCCAAAAAAATCCCCTCCATGGCTTCCTCTAGCAAACGTCGAGGCGTGAGCCAGCTACGTGGGGCTTCAGCAGAAAAACTCCCATTCACTGGCTCGGGCTGCTGCTCATCATTTCCCCAAGCCCGTTTCAAGCCCCCCGGCGGCTCCTCGGCCGGTGCACACGGTTTTCTCCTGCTTTTCTCCTCGTGTTCAAGGTGTTAACGTGTCCCAACCGCTGCCACGGGGAGCAAGTCGGCTCCTGCCGGCCGTGGCTGGGCTCTGAGGAGCTGCCACCAGCCTGAGTCATGCCCACACCTGGCCCTGGCAGGGCGAGGAGTCGGAGTCAGCCCCTGGCACACACCTAACACGTGGCTCTGCCTCAGCAGTTTAAATAAACTCGTGGTTTTCTGGCTTGGGGTTGTTTTTTTTTCCCCCCCCCTCCTTGTTTTAAGTAATTATCAGCACGGGGTGATAGGGAAGCGAGAGTCAGGGAACAGCGTGGGCTTGGGCTTTTTATGTAATGCTCCTATCTGTTGGGAAAATTATCTTCTGTGTATGAAATAGCTGAGTTGTCCCCAGGGGAGAGCTACATCCACATTTAAATGTTACCGTGGGCCTGTCCTTGGCCACAGCTCGTCAGCAAAGTGGGCATTTAAATTATCAGGAAGAAGCTCACGCTGCCGACTGTTCCTCTTCCCTCCCTCCCCGGGCCCTGGAAATGTCAGTGAAAACCAAAAGGGGTTTTTAGCTTCTTCAATGAGTTCATCTTTTCAACTCATTAATCTCCTGATGGATTTGCTCTCTCTGAAGGGACGAGGGCTCTGTGCAGGCTGACACCCAGCTGGGGCAGGGCGCTCGTGGCGTCAAATAAAAACCCTAAAAAAAGAAAAACCAAACCCAATTCTCCTCCTCTGGGCTGCCATTCAGCAG